ATTCGCTAAATACAGAAGGATTGGGTAACTACATACCAAATTATTCATGTCTACATCCATTAGAGCATGGAAACAAAGCTTAACTTGAAAAAATGAGCTTCTGAAAATTTAGTCATAACGGTGCCTAAAGTTCTTTACTGATAACAAAACTGACTGTTCAGTCTGTGTTAGTAGAAAGTTTAAACTACTCCTCTTCCAAAAATCATGAAAACAACAAAAAATTGTTCCGAAGATTTGAAGGAAAGAACGAAATTATTTTTCAGCCAAAAGCTTGTTTCAGAAGTTTTAGCAATGTATTTTTTACACACTCATCGCTGTCAGAAAAAAAGATTTTAGGAACAAGTCGGTGATCTTCTGGATATCAAATCTTTTTCACGGAAATTTCCTGATATGAGCCGAAGGAAAGTGGAAAAGCTCGAAAGAGACTGGTTATACGCCACATATAATATACATCAGATAATGAATGAAACACGTACGTCATTTACTTTTCTTTCGTTTCCATAATTTTTCTTGAACATTTATTTCAGAATTGAGAGATCTTTGCGCTATGCGTTCCGTTGAAATTCGCGATTTGATGGCCAGCGAGTACCCCACGATTTATCAGGTATATAACAGCAGTGATGATGACTATAACAATCCACGTTTTTAAAGGAGTTCCAAAAAGTGACTGCTGAAAGACTCAAAGCGGTTATGGCTGAACAAGCGAAGGAAATGGAGGCGGTATGTCATTCAACCGTTTGGTACAGCAAACTTGTCAGACCTTTTAGATCAAAAACGATGTGAAAAAATTGGCTGAGTTGAGGGAAAAAGCCATCAAAAGTGCAGCAGATTTCAACAGAGAATTGCAAACAGTGAAGAAGTATGAAAGGCAACACTACTGGGATGTGCAGACCTCGGTAATGGCTGAATATTATTTGGGAGGGCTAAGATCTCGGCTGAAGTTTTTTCCTTCCAGATTATCCAGTCAAGCGCTAACAAATGGAAGAAGTTGCCAGCGAAGTATACAAAGCCTGATCCGTATCCTGTGGCTCTAATACATGGGCAATATCAGAATTACTATAGAAAGTATGTCATTCAACTTACATAAGTTTTATCATCATTGCGAGTACAGTTCGTTTCAAACCTCTGTCTTTTTCTTTTTAAGATTCACAGCCTCAGAATTGCGACGTTTACCTCTGGGCAGCGTGCTTGATGGCGAACATCTATTCCCAGTACATCGTGATCCTTCACCTCCACCAATCAATGTATCCGAGAAGGATATGCAGAGTATGCTTGGCTTCCAATATGGCGTGGACCAAACCGGAAAATTTCAGGGTTTGAGAAGCTTTTGGCTGCTCAGGGAACTCCTATATCAGCTCCATCTTCTGGCCAGATCAAAATGGAAATGACCACTCCACGTGCGGAACCACCCGCTCGAAAATCTGTAAGTCTGTGATTCTTAATCTTCTGTTTCGGAATCCTTTCTCCTCTCTCTGCAATATTTTTCCAAAGCGTCCTTATATGGGAAGTGGCGACACCGCCGCTTTCTACCTTACAAGGGAATGGTGAAATCGAAGT